GTTAACCTACCCAGACAACTCATACACACCATACCAGTTCATCCATGGAGCATGAAATCAGGATGATGAATTAGCTTGCAGTAAAAAAAAAAAAATTCTTGCCTTCAAAAAGAAAGATAGTGGAGCAGCACCGTTGCATATGCATGGTGTTTTTACCTCTGTCTAGATGCTACCTGATACCTGTATACACATTCTTATATTGTACAGGTTATTCTGGTAACCTTTACTGTCCAGTTGACAAGAGAGCGTAGCGCTAGCTAATGCTCCATTTATAGAACTGATAGCGGACTGGATTGATTCAAAAATCATCCTGCTGATCATAATTTCGTAATTGTATGTTGTATGCGTTTTTAAGAAGATTATTAATTGATTGTCTTCCGTTTTCCTAGATGTGAATCACACAATCTGTGGTTTACTAGATGTAATCGTACAGAAACGTATAACTGTTGTGTTATTCCACGTATGGGTTGTTATTTACACTGTTGTATTATGACTGTTGGTTGCCACTAAAATAATATATTGGTCCCCTTAAAGGAAAACCTTCATGATGTGAGCAATCTTAGCTACTTCCTAAGGAACAAAGTAATACCAAGTTTCTCCTAAGCAGCATTTAGATGAAACTAGGAGCTATGGGGTTGCCTCTGCTAACTTTGTAAAAATGCTTCACAACAGCAACATAACACATTCTAAAGGACTTCAAATTCATACTTCCATGCAGTAATTTGATTTTTTGGAAACTATATAATATTGATTTTCTGATATTGATTTTTGGAAACAACATAATAAGTTCATTAGGTGCTCCTCCAAAACTTTGATATCATGTGCTTAAATCATAAGAGACTTTCTTCCTTTTCCTATTTAAAAAAGTATACTTCACATCCTTTTTCCCTTCTAACATCCTAAAATATATACTCTATGCAACTATTTAGTTCAATTAACACTTTGTTTTCAATTATAAATTTCAACTATATTTATTATCAGTGTTTTCTATTTATTCACTCCCAGAGTAATATGCTTTAGCTAAGTATTTTTCTTGATTCTAACATTTTCCACATATAAAATTTATATATGTATATAATATATGTAAATATACATATGATTTTTGTATATACTATATATATAATTTTAGGAGCCAGTTTTCCACCTTTCTAACCATAAACTATGGGGGAAATACAAAAATACATACAATATTTTTGGTGTTTTTAATAAGTTCATTTACCCTGAATACCTATCAGCTTGAAATATATTTAGTCTTTGTTGAAGACTAAACAATAGATAAGCATCATTAAAAAGTCTATTATATTTCTAGCTTCTAATTTTGTTAAAGATCCCGATGATATTTTCTGGTAACAGTAAAATAGAAAAAAGTTTAATTTCTTACCTGCACAATGTCCCTTTCAGCATATTTTCCTCTGGAGGAGACTCTTACATCGTCTCCATCCAATTCGATCATTGCTTGAAAAGAAAATATGATCATTTAACAGTACATTTTAGCCAAATACTAAAACAATGCAGGCATTAAAAAATCAGTATGTACGAAGTAGCAATGTTCTCTATGTAAAGACAAAAAACCGTTTGATTCCTTCATCTCTTCATTCATTTCTCACATAAAACTTGACTGTGTACATGTTTTATAGATGAGGAAAGTGAGCTAAGACCTATGTGACCCTTTGAAATGTGGGGAGAGCCAATACATTAAGGAACAGTCTGTAGGTCCACCCTACTAGTTCTAAACTATTAGTTATATGCTTATATGACTAATTGAGCAAGTGATATTAATCCATCAAATTTTAATTTTTCTTTCTAATTTAAGAAACTTGACACCATTCATCATAAAATTTTCAATAACAACTTGATCTTGATTCTCATTGAAGCTACAACAAAGCTACATTTATATTTTTATATATCCACATTACCCAAATTTTACTTTATAAATAGATTCAAGAAACAAAGAGACATTTTCTTTGCCCCTATAATGACTGGAGAAAATATGATTTTTCTGAAGTATGATTTTTTTTATTGGTTAAGAAATAATTTCACCATTCCCTAGATCAGCTGGTATTTGAAAATGCTGTGATATAATGAGACAGCTGGTGATACCGTAATGCTATGCTGCAATTAAGAACATTTTCCAGAGTTTATTAAGTTTTCAGTGAGAATTCACTAAATAATTAATTACATGAGGAATGCTAATTTGTGCTTAAAGCATAATTCTATTACTGATAATTCATTTTGTATACACATGACATTCACCAGACTCCAGAGAGCTACTTGCAATTATAATGTTTGCCTCTTCACCCCCCACCCCAATCCCAATATTGCTCATTCAGAACACAATCCTCACCTACCCACTATTTTCTTCAGTGCTTAAATAAAATATTTGGGATAAAAACATTGTTTCCAATTTTACCTTTCTACACACGTTCATGAGTCAATGTTTTAGCTGAAATATTGCTAGTATAAGTAATTAACAGAGAGCCGCTAATTGATAATTTGCTTAGATATGCAATATATATCATAATTATGTACAAGGGTGCATTGCCAACAATAAGGTAATTAATTATTCAAAATACAAAAGACCTTTTTTCTCCCCTACTTCTTGGGGATATAAATAGGAGAATTCATTATGCTCAAATATTTTCAATAATTAATTTCTATTTAATCTAAATTTGCTTTTACAATTTTCACATCACTTTGAGACATGAATGTACCTCCATAGTGATATGCCAACAATCCCAGAAGCGTCTCCAATATTTTCTAATATGTTAATAACTTGTAACAATTACCCTATACTCAGTCTAAAAGGGGAAACAAGAAGTAGATGATAATTTAGGTATCACCTTCCACTACAATCTCTATTGATTTTTGTGAATGTTTCATTCCAATTAATGAAGAAAAGGACAGTTGTTCAGGTAATAATGTATTAGAATGAGATCCTATAAGATATCTCCCACTTTTCAGCAAGCCATTTGGGTCAAAAGACTGCGGGCAGCAAATATAGGAGGCTACACTTTTGAGAGCAAAGAGAAGAGAGATGGTGTGTAACTGGTAGTGGGGTTATGTCCACTCTTTGGGTTTTCAGACCATCTGGTCCTCAATGAGGCAAAGATTATGGGCCCATTTCCCATCGGCACCTCTGCCTGGAAAGGTGCATGAGCAACAGAGCTGCGTTTCTTTCTAGCCATGGAAGACACAAGGAAGTTAGAATTCCTTCTATTTATCCCCTTCTCTTAACTCAGACCAAACCAGAGAGTCAAATGCTACTTTAATTTGACTTCATGACTGTCTTTTCAGGATAAGGAAATCCTGCTTGGAGAAGTATTTCTCCTTAATGAAAGTGCTTTATTTAGGTGTAAAAAGTCACTGGGGAAAATTATGCAGAGAGTTTTTAAATGTTCTTATTAAAATGCAGAATTAATTGAAATACTCATTAATAGTTTATTCTTATTTCCTGTATCTTCAAAGAACAGATGGCAAAATATTGCATTTTTTGCCCATAAAAACAATGTGTTTTGGGTTAAAAATGTGTAGATGTTGGATTTCTGTCTTTACCTAGGCCAGTTTACACGTGTGATATATGAACTTACTCTATGGTAGACTTAGAAGTGCCATGTAAAGCTCTTCTGATAGGAGAGCAGCAATTTGACTATAAGTCAAAGACTTTTCTATATTCAATGTGCGTATTCTGTCCTTTCCTTCTTAGGCATGGAGGGAAGAGATGTGTTTTGAGAGGGAAAAAAGAAAAATAAAGAACCATCTATTGTTTCCTAGTAGAAAAGTTTACTTTTCCAGTATTAGGCCTGGAATTTGTTTCCATCTTATTAAAACTTCCACCATGTTGAAAACAGAAACCAGGTGTTGTAGGACCCTAATTCCCTGTCCAGATGTTTCTGGAGGAAAATTTCACCCCAATTTTTGAGAGGAAATTCTCCTGGGAGGGCACCTTTCCTTTTTATCTACAATTTTCACTCCCTTTTTTCTGCATGGAAAGAACAATTCATAGGGTTACTAAGATTAGGAGAAAGAAACAGAGCTTGGATCTTTCTTTTGGAGTAGCTTATCCGAAGGCTGGATGCAGTTTCTCTCTGTGGCATGCTTAATAGGCAAAGCTCTGCCTCTGTAGGGAGGAGGCCTGGAGATAAGAGTGAGGTCATTTAATCTTGGGGGGAAAAAGTAATGAGAAGTGTGACTCTGTCTGCAGGTTAACCCAAATTCTCAAATTCTGCACTGCTAGCAATAAAGCTGATATGCTTGTCTGAGGGATTCCTGTATATATTATTTTCCAGTTAGTTCAGGACATCAGAGAAGGAAATGATAAAATTATTATACTCAAAACTCTAATGAATTCACCGGGAACAAGAGAAAGGAAGAAAATATATAGCTGTGGCTACTGGGTGAAGATAGTAACCAAGTAGCTATGCCTGCTGCTCTGCATAGAAATACATAACCAGAAACATACAGTGGCTTTTTGTATTCAAGCATCATGTGTGGGGGCTCTTGAACAATAAGAGCCGACTGAGCTTTACCCATCTGAGGTCCTATATTAAATGGTGGACTTCTATAGACATCTGGGAGACCTGAGATATACCCATGAGAGGTTCATCCTTCAGAGCCAAAAGCAAATAGAAGCCAAGGAAGAAAGCATGAGTTATTTTAGCCTAGCAATCAGTGAAGTCCGTGAATCACAGTCTATCACGGATTAATGCAGATCATCAAGCACACAAAGCATTGACAAGAAAGATGTCTTAGCATTCCTGACTCCTGGAGAGGTGTCTCAAATTCCTGCCTGAAGCACAATGCAAATAGATGTGAATAGTCAGAGACAGAAAAAATATTAGCAGAAGCAGTGGCAGTCAGAGCTAAATGACTTTTGCTTTAGAAACTGTACGATTAAAATGATGAAAAGGATGACTAGCCAAGCATAGAGTCTTAGGGAGTTTAGCGTCAGCACTCTTAACTTTGCCTGAGACTGGGTACTTTACCTGAGACTGGCAGATATGTATTACCTTTACAGAGGAGAGACTGCTGGTTAAATAAGAATCACCCCAATAACCATAGTCTAGTTAGCCACTGATGAGTCTAAATTAACTAGTACCTGACATAATGTTCATTCTAAAATGATTCTCATTTCCACACTCACAAACTAAATAATCTGTCATTGTTAATACAAAAACACCTGAACCAAGTGAATGTTATGTGGCCATGCACTTACTGTCCAGCACAGAGTTTTCTTAAAGGAATTTACCAGATGACTAGGAATAATCTATCCTTTAAAATGTTTACCCAGTTACTTAATTGGCATTTGAACAAGGCCTGAGCCCAAACGGAAAACTACCCAGTAAGGCAAATTAGCATAATTATATAAAGTCTCATTAAATTTCAGCTGGTCAGTTCCATTTTCATTTTACTTTGCTCTCTCATATGACAGAGCTTCTTTATTTATAAGGCTAATGTCTATCAACTAGCCAGGGTCTGAAAACCCATTAAATTAGCATATTCTGCTTATGCTAACATTTCTTTTCACAACCTAATGATTTATTAATTTAGCACTCATCCTTAAAGGTTTTTAGTGAACCCAGAGGGTGTTTTGCCTTGGGAACAAAAATTCAATTTATCACTCTGTCAGTCTTAAGAAATGTTATTTTGAGGTACAAACTATCTCTAATGAAATAGAAAGCTGCATGCTGAATGAATCTATAAACTAGAGAATGTTTCACTCAAAACACAGGATCTTTTAATTTTCTCATGTTAATAGATATCAAGAGCTATCTATCTGTATGTACATTATATAGGCTTGATAAATAATTCATTCATGCAACCTATGTTTATTAAATGTCTACTTTGTGCCAAACATTGCTAAACCTAGATACAGATAGGTGAATAAAAACAGTTATAATTTTGTAGATTACCATCTAGTAAACACAGATTGTGTAGATTAATCTAGAAAAGAAGACAATCAATTAAATAATCTTTTAAAAAGCATACAAACATACAATTAGAAATTATGATCAGCAGGATGATTTTTGAATCAATCCAGTCCCTATCAGTTCTATAGAAATGGAGATTAGCTAGCATAGCTCTCTTGTAACTGGAAAGTAAAGGTTAAGAAATAACCTGTACAAATTATAAGATTGTATATAGGTAGATTAGGTAGATTAGACAGAGGTAAACACACTCATGCATATGAAGGTGATGTTACTATCTTTCTTTTTGAAGCAAGAATTTTTTTTTTAACTCAACTATTCATACCCCTGATTAATCCTCACCGATGAATGGTATGGTGTGTATGAGTTGTCTGGATAAGGTTAAGGATACGATCTGCTGCAAAGGCATGGGTGTTCTATTTTAATGTTAAGTCAACTAAAATAGACTCTGGGCTCACTCTGAGTATCACCATGCTGTCACTTAACCAGCCCAATACTGAGTGACCACTACTTACATTAACTATGGATTCCTTAGTTTGAGCCATATCTGAGATAACGCCATCTGTAACAATCAGGAGCACAAAATACTGGGAGCCATCCTTTACAGAAGCAGCATACCTGAAAGGCAATGAAAAGGTAAGGCATATGACAGAAAATAAAACAGTTCCTCTCCATGTGCTGGTTGCTAGATACAATTTGGAATAGTCAACAAACCTTTTAATCTTAAGAAAATATTTAAACATAGGTTAGAAGCAATCCTATGTAAACTCTCAAATACACATTTTTCTGAATAGCACACGAGAGTGACTACAGCATTAGTCCATGCCAGTACACAGAAATATCTGTCTTAGAAGTTCATTAACTAATAAAAGGGGAGAAGGAGATGAAGTGCTACTTAGCACAAAGGAAAGGACATAGCTTTTGGAAATAGACATGTCCTGGCTAAGCGACACACTATGTGAATGATTTCCAGTAAATCACCTAAGTTATATGAACTTTATTATCTTACCTTTAAAACTGAAATAATAACACACCTTTGTATTGTTGCATGAATTAATAAATAAATTGCATGTATGGTACTCAATATATAAAAGGATTCTATAAATGGTAGCAATAATCAAAAATGCCTTTTATTTTGGAACCTCATAGAGGTGATGGTTGCACAATATTGTGAATGTACTGTAAGTGAATTATATACTTTTAAATGGTTAATTTTATTATGGGAATCTCACATTTATAAAAAAATGCAGTAGAAGAAATGTTTTTTGACACATTCACACTCAAGTTCTTAATACATGTTAAATCAATGAGAGAAGAATTATACCAGAGTAAAAAATTATATACATAATAAAAACATATTCTAGTACTTGAATAAGTTTATCAGAATTCTTGCCAAATAATACTCAGTAATTTAGAGGAGAATTTTATGAATATGTCATATTTTATTATATTTCTCCTTTCCCCTAGTGTTCTACATTGTAGATATCTACATTATATTTTCAGTAAGGATACCTTTTATAATTTTTGTACATCACTGGTATGTAGTTCATGTCCAGTAATGAGTAAACACTATGGTTCTCTTAGGATAGAGGAGAGTAAACAAGACCTTGATCTATGTTTCTAAAATTATCAAGTAGATTACAGAACAATTGGGTTCCAAAATACTTTCATTGATTGGCCAGTGAAATTCCTTTACGTCCTGAAGGACCCCAAGGGATCCCATCCGAACAGGTTAGGAACAGAGAAATAGCATGTCAGGACACAACTTACTTCTTGGACAGTAGAATTAACAACCATATGAAGAAGAAAAATACTTAACAACTTTCCCATGGACTACAGAAACTAAGATTTGTTCATGCTACTAATAAATACTGGTAATTTTATAGATTGATACAGAGAATACAGTAAGCGACATATTCACATGCTGTAAAAAGCGTGTTGAACAGGTTCCACGATGTACTGTACAGTCAAAAATACCCCCAGTGTACTGAACAATTGATCCTGGACATTAAAGAATTTGTATTAATTTGATGGTAATGCAACCAACGGAAAACAATCCAAAGCAGCTATGAACCTGCTTTATTTTATGCTTAATGTTTTAAAGCCAAGAAGTCTAACGATTTCCCTCAGGAATTCAATTCTCATTGAATTGATATTTTAAAATATCAATTATTTTGTTTAAATTAATTTCTTACTGTGATTCAGAAACATAGGGTTTTCTATGAATATTTCATGTGATTAATGGAAGGCTATAAATGATAATGGAAAAGTTCTATAATTTCAACAGTATGTCTCTTATGCTTTTCTTACCAAGTGATGCTCTTAAAATGTCAAATTTCTACCAAATTTAAAAAAAACCACAGAAAGTTGAGTGTCAAATAAAATACCACTTCCAGTGGTTTAACAGATTGTCTTTGATTCACCAGAATGTATACCCTAAGAGAAGGGGGAGAATATATTCATATTATGAAGGGAGTTGGAGATAGAGCATTTGGAATTTCTCTGGTTTGTTGTTTTATCTTAAAAATTCATGATTTTTATATTTTATGATAAATGTATGCTTATAGTAATGCTTTGTATTCCTTAACTTTGAGGAAAACTAAGGCTGTAGAAAGATAGATGAGTTTATTGTGTGTCTCTTGCTACTGCTAGACACACTTAATTTGAAAATAAATTACATTTTAGTTATAAGACCTGTCCAACCCATTTTAGTTTCAACCACCATCAATACCACAAATTAATGTTTTAAAACTATTTATTGTTTTTATGGCATTTGTTCTACACATTGGCATATTGTTGTACTTTGCGAGCAAATCTAAATTTCAAATAAAATCAATTTCTTCCAATTTAGCCTTTTAAGAGTATTATATGCTTATGATAAAATAATTAAAATTCTACAGAAATGTATGAAGTAAAAAGTATAAGCTGGCCATACTCGAATCCCTCTTTGAGGAGGTGACACTAATACACAGACTAGCAGATTCAAATTATATTTTAAAGGTATTAGAGAAGCTCACTTTCAAAGGAACCAGATACATAATCCTTTGTAAATTGCATAATTAAAACTTTTATTATGACAAGCCATATTTTAATTTTATTTTTTTCAAATATAATCTATCTATATATTTAAACACAGTGTTATTAGATATATTAGTGTTATTAGATATATTATTAAATTATTAAATTCTTATCTGGAAGATCAGGATATTATTTCTCCAATTTTAAATTTGCTTCCAAATTACAACATAATGGTATTAATGATACATTTCTTTCTTTTGGTAGGTGGAATAATCATGCTTGTATGTCAATTTGGCTAGACTAACAACACAGTTATTTAATCAAACACTAATCTAGGTGTTGCTATGAAGGTATTTTGGAGATGTGGGTAACATTTACCATCAAATAACTTTAAATGAAGGAAATTCATCCAATTAGTTGAAAGCCTTACGAGGCAAAGCTAGTTTTCCATAAAAAAACGAATTCTGACTCAAGGTTGGACTATGAAATCCTACCTGAGTTTCCAAACTATCAGCCTGCCCTACAAATTTCACCCTTGCCAGCTCCTACAATTATATGAGCCAATTCCTTGAAATATATCTCTATGTCTATATCCATATCTATAGCATGTCTACATATCTCTGATTGGTTCTGCTTTTTTGGAGAACCTTGACTGATAAAGTAGGTATCAATCGCAATCACATTTTTCCACAGGTCATTAAGACTGGCTAAGCATTATCATTTAAAAGTGTCTTTGGTTTCCTATTAATCCTTGCTAATTAAAATGCACTCATAATATATGGCATTCAGGTAATTTAATTAAATAAACAGGCACGGATTTCTCAGTATATGCAAAATATTGTGCTTTATATTGTTTTATGTATATATATGTATGTATGTACAAGAATAATTAAGACATAATGAACGGTTCTTCCCTTCAATGTGGAAAAGAGATCTCACAACCACATGCAACCACAGAGTAGCATAGAATTAGTGATAAACATATACAAGAAATGATAGCATAGGCCAGAAAAAGCAGTGATTCTGTGTGACTGAATGCAGCGCATCTGGGAGAATGCGGTGGGAAATGACGTTGGATAGGTGGGAGGGGGTTGGATATTGGGTGCTCTTGAATGCCAAGCTAAATTGCACTTAAATTTATGACAAGGCACCAGCAGATGTTGAGTAGGATTTCTATCATTTGAAACGCTATTCCCCAGACAATTCTGGGAAAGGAGACCTGGGAGAGCAAGAAATCAGAAGCAAGGGCTTGGAAATACCCAGAAAAGTATATAAAACCTTCAAATGTTGCAAAGTTGATACCTTTGGTCTTGTCTATTTCACAATATTGTCATCCCATTAATATTACCTAGAAAGGCAATACTCTTATTACATTAAGATCAGTTCTAAAAAAAACATGTGCTTAAAATTATTATTGTTTAAAAGAATAAGCATTCTTCATAATGCCCATAGAAAATGATAACAACTAAGCTTTTACTCATATAGAAAACACACTTTTTAGAGAGAAAAAAATAAAGCAAATAGAAAAAGTATGAATATATATTTGCTTTGACTTTGCTGAAATAATTTTGGTGATAAAATTTTAATATTTAAAGAATTCACTTATTAGACATCTGTTGAGTATTTACCACCTACATGATGGGCATGGTGCTAAGTTCTTTTAAATGCCTTTAAGAATTAAATAAAACAAGAGGTTTTATGTAAGTAGAGGTCAAAAACTATAACTATGACAATCTTCTTAATATATAAACAAATAGTACCTCATCTATTTATTGCATAAAGCTTTTGGACAGTAAATCTCGATCATACAGAAATTGTCTGTCTTAATAAAAGCTTAAAAACAAAATTAAACATGACATTCAAAGATAAAAATGTTTCTTTACAGATCCATAATAAGAGATGGATACATGGAACTTCCTATTATTTTGGAAAGAAAAAATGACTCTCAAAAAGCCATCTCTTACTGTTCTTCTAATTTTCTTTCATTAAAAAAATAACAATAAAGAATTATTAGATCATGGCTTATTTTCAAAGAGGCTGAAAGCTTTAACTAGCATCTACCCCTATATTTGAGAATTTACTAAATTCTAGGTAAAACATAAAAAAAATGGAATAGATTTCACCATGGTCTGGTGCACTAATACAGGCTCCAATACTGTGGAGCCTGTAGTTTTCAATGGTATATAGAAATGCATCTAGAAATGTTATATCTATAACTTTCACTTTTACAGTAGAGATATATGAGGAAAAATAATTGGTAAGCACAGATGAACACATTTATAATAATTAGCATGATTCATAAAAATAAGTCTTGCTATTTTTCTCCTATCTTTTTACTAAAATGTGATCTGTATGGTGGTGTGGAAGAGTCAAGTGTAATTTATCTTGCATTAACACGATTTTTTATTTTGCTTTATTTGACAGCCATCGATAAACTAGGAAAACATGTATACATAACATTACTTGTACAGGTGAATATAATAAGCTAGGAAATGTTTTTCAAATTACAGCTAATGACCCATTAGTGGACTGTGAAATCAATTTTGTGAGTCAAGATCTGCATTTAAAAAGGAATAGGAAAGAATAGGATACCATAGAAATAAAGAGAAAATATGAGGTAAAAAGTCTAATTTTAGGAATAACCTTTTTTTAGTTGTGTGTGTAACAGGGTTGAGATGTAAAACTCACAACTTAGTATAAACAGCAGATGAAAATGTATACAAAACTCCAGCCAAAGGGGTCACATGCAGCAAATGATCATCAATGTGTCACTGTCAACCTGAGGTGCAGTTCCACAGGGAAGGAACACTGGGGTCAGCCCTGGGTGCGGAGGTATTTTAACATTTTGTCCATGTCCCAGATAATGGAAAGTAGAGCACATTTAAGTTGTTGGCAATTTCAGTTGTTCCAATAGGAAAGGTGGTAAAATACCAGAATCTTCAAACAGAACTATTTGAATTGTACTGTACATTGCCGTGTAGATTGATAAACTGATCAAATGCAGTGTTTTTTCAAGTTATGGTTACATCTTTGGAAGACTATGAGAACTATACCTTTTGGATTCTCTCAAAATAAGGCAGGGTTTCATGGAATTTGCAACTGGTTCAAGCCAAACTTTTTAGAAAATCTGAAAAGTGGTGTCTAATTCATTTATGCACTTATGGAAAAAATGATAAGTATACACAGATTTTAACATTTTCTCCAGAACATGTACTTGGAGACGTAAGCAATTACATTCTTATTGCAGCTCTACCTGTACTATATACAGGTAGAGCTCTGGGAATTTATAAAATTAGCTATTATATTAATTTCAGAGAGGTCAAAATAATATGCCCTATATATCACTGAAAGCTTCAAATACTCATCTAATAGAATTCAGTCTCTTATTACTTTTATGCTACTTTGGAATGTGATATTACATAAGAATGATTTACGCAGTTGATCACCATTGATCTTGTTATTGTTCTCATGGATGCCTTTTCAAAGAAAACAACATTTTCCTTGGTCGAACCAAGACAGGTCTCCTAACATAACCCAGCTTATGTTTCTTAACTTGAGATTTTGATGTAAAGTTCTCAGCACTGTATCAGGACAGCCTGATGGAGACTGTTTCTACTGTATATCTTTTTCCTCACTTTCTTGGAGGTAAATTAGAAGAAAACAACTTTCGACTGGAGTCACGCTAACAATAATATGATTTTACCACGGTCCAGTGCACCAGAATAAATACTTTGTGTACTCTCTACTTACCTTGCTACATGATTAATTACAGGAGCAAAGTTGGTTGGCCCATACAGTTGTACAGATTTCAGACTCCTATAGTAAGCTTCCATGACCCCCTCAATGCCATCACAGTAGGGGTTTTGAGGGTTCCCATTCTGCAGAAAGTTACCGGCAAACAAACAAAACAGTCAAATATTAATAGTCTCTGTGAAGATCAATTGACAAAGAAGAAAATAATACACAGATTTTTGGAATTACAGGCATTTATAGATTTATAATAACAAAACAATAATTGTACATTAAGTGAACAACAGATTATAACATATGTAGATTACAATATAATAATATAGGATATAATGTGCAATCATTAAAAATGCATACTCTTCAAAAAAAAGGGCCAGAGAAAATTCTAAATAATCTTAAGCTGAACACTACAACATTTTGAAATTAACAGTGTTTTAATTTTACACAGGTTTGTGCACATGTAGAGATGAACATATAAAAATCCTGAGAAGAAAAAAAACAAATTAATAATAGTGGCTACCTCTAGGTAGCCAGAGAACTAGTGACATTCCTTTCATTCTTTAACCTATTCTGTATTTTTCCAATTTTTCTCCAGTGAACATATATTAAAATCAGAAAAAATAAATGCTGCTGCTTTCAATTCAAACAGTGTTACCTGGTGGAAGAGAAAATGTAAAATATCTGCCACATGTGTATTTTCAGGCCACAGTTGACAACCCCAAGTAGAGAAGGGGTCAGAAGGAATAGAATTTGGTGTGGAAAAAAACAAGACAAGATAAAAGGAAAAGAATCAACGAAACATATCCATGTTGTTCAAGGGAAATGGAGGTTGCTATTAAGAAGCTCTTATTCTTGGGATAGCACATGGAAAGGCATCTTTAACCTGGACACCTAGTCTAACTCTTTCACACATTAAATGCTCTGTCATTATTAGGTTTAATTCTCCTAGTCCAGATTCCCCTAATAAATAACACAAATAAGATGATGTGTTCATTACCTATTGTATGCTATGTAACAAATGACCCCAACACTTTTACCCTTTTGTAACGTGGTTTAAAACAATGAATATTTATTATCTCACACATTTTGGGGGTGTCAAGAATCCAGAAGCAGCTTAGCCAGGTGTTTCCTAAGCAGGATCTCTCATGAGGTTGCATATGCCAACCTGGGATGCAGTCATGAGAGAGCCTGACAGTGACTAGAGGACCTGTTAGTAACAAAGCTCGCTTAGACGGCTGTTGGCAGGAGGCTAAATGGACTCACCCTAGGGCTGCTTGAGTGTTCTCAGCAACACGGCAGCTAACTTCTTCCAGAATAAGTGATCCCAGAGAGAAAGCAAAGACAAATCCCCAAAACCTTTTATGAGCTGGTGTCAGAAGTTATATATCATTACTCCTACTTTAATGTACTTGCCAGAAATCAGTCACTAAGTCTCACCCACGCTTGAGAAAAGGGGAATTAGGCTCCACCTCCTGGAAGAGAGAGTATCAAAAATTTTGTAGGCATATTTTATTTATTTATATTTATTTATTTATTTTGGGGGGACAGAGTCTCACTTTGTTGCCTAGGCTAGAGTGAGTACTGTGGTGTTAGCCTAGCTCACAGCAACCTCAAACTCCTGGGCTCAAGCAATCCTACTGCCTCAGCCTCCCGAGTAGCTGGGACTACAGGCATGCACCACCATGCCCGGCTAGTTTTTTCTATATATATTAGTTGTCCAATTAATTTCTTTCTATTTATAGTAGAGACGGGGTCTCGCTCTTGCTCAGGCTGGCCTCAAACTCCTGACCTCCAGCAATCTGCCCGCCTCAGCCTCCCAGAGAGCTAGGATTACAGGCATGAGTGTAGGCATGTAACTAAATTTAAACATATTAGCAATAATTTTAGCAGGTATGTTTTTAAGTGAACAATCACAGTAACTGGTAATTTATAATTAAAATTTTTTGAATTCTATAGACCAAGTTTTATACTAAAATATTTACATATAGAATTTTTATAACAATGCTAAAAATGAAGGTGAAGTACTGTCATTGTTCCCACTTCACAAGTAAAGAAACTGAGGCACTGAGAGCTTAGATACTGTTCCCAAGGTCACAGAACACAAGTAGGAGAGCCAAGATTTTCAGTTTAACTCCAAAGCCCAATCTGGAGAACCACTCTACGCCACCAAATTAGAAAACACGCTAAGCATTTAGCAAGGCGAGGGATCTTAAGAAATCAGGCCAGATGTTACCAATGACTTCAATTTTGTCATTTGTGAGAGTTACTTATACCCATTTTTCTCCTTTTAATTTTGTCTTTTCTTCATTTTTATTAACTCTCATGTCAATTTTTGAAAACATAAAAATAATAAAAGATCTCTTTACATTATAAAATTGCTTATATGAATTGACAAATTAAAACATAAAACAAAAGTTTAATATTTCGCACAAAGCAGTTAAGGGTTGGTTTTGATGTTAATCTGAGCTGACCTATTTAACCTTCCTTTAAATAAGATTTTATAGTGCTCTTTTCCCTTGATAAGGTATGAAGCTAATTAAAATTAAAACTCATTACTGATTTTGGGCATATAAAAATGTATTATATATCTGCCTTAAGGGAACAATTACAAACTAGGATAGTCCTGAGCTACTTTTTTTTTTTTAACATTTTGACTGAAGGTTTATATTTCTATGAAACTATATATTACCTCTATTCATCTGGAATTGACATTTCAAGGTCACCATTGTTCTCTCCTTTGGTAGTAGAAAGATAATCATTGGAGGTTCTATTCATCCTCATGGAATGTTTAAAGCACTGATTTCTAAATTCGTCCTAATACCATAATAATTTGCTCCAAAGTTTCTGCATATGCCTTGGATGATAAGAATACTACATCAAATGATGTATTCTTTTTAATATATGTTCTGCATTATGACAGGATTATTTTAAATATTTTACAGCTACTAAAATGAGATTTTCCCTTTAATGACAAAGTTGCAAGGAGTTATAAAAAGATTTTTTTTTAAGTCTGTTTAAAAACTCTTTTCTTGAAATAATTATACAGGGAATCAGTTTTTGCTTATTAAAACAAATTGGAATAAGTGTCTGCGTGGCTCTGGCACAAAAGTAAAACACAGGATGTTTTTAAAAATAAGTGCACTTAATTTTGTTGTTTATTCAGAGGGCAGTGGGTACCCTATTTTGCATTTCTGTTTTCATTAATAACCTTTTCCATTTATAAACTAATAAATGCTAACTTGTAGAGCATGTAGAAAAGTATACAGAATTGAATTCAAAATGAGCAGTAATCCCGCTACGCAAACTTAAGGGGGCAAGGGTGTCCAGCTCTCACTCATTTTTCCTCTCCTTTAGCTCCCTCGGGGGTTGTATTGGTGATTTGGATTCAGTTCCATTTCAAGAAGCCTATAGCCTCCGTTGCTGCCTACAGCCTGTGACACTTTTCAGCAGGGCTAACAAGCTGACAAAATACTGAAGAGAAGCTCTTAGGGACTGTTTCTAGACTCCGCTTAGGGTGGGGAAAAGCTGAAAGAATTCTTCCTTTTAATGCAATAAACAAACATCTACTGAGCTTCTATTTTATACATAGCACTGTGTTAAAGACTCTTGGTTATTAAATTGTTAGTGTCTGTTCAGAAGGATAGATACACACATACATATTAAATTGCACAGATGTGTATAAATGCCCAAACAAGTGAAAAGGACGCAAGTGCTTTTAGGTATTTTGTAAGAGAAATCACTTGGATAGGTGCAGCATTTCTCTATTCATCAATGCAGAAGACATTCTTTGAAGGGCCACTGGCCACAAGCTTGTTAGAAATGCCTCTTCTAAAGCTTCACACTATTGCATTTTCAATTATAACCACGAAAAGAGTCATCAAGAATCATAATGACAGGAGAGCAGCAATGACTCATTCTCTTCACAACCAAAAGTCCTAAAATGGCAATACTAGGAAATTCTTCTTTTTCTTTCTCATTCCCTTTTCTCTCCCCATGGTATCTTATACATAGCACACATGAAAGGCTGGGGTCTATCTGATACCCTTTGACTGAGCAAAGGTCAATTTCAAAATCTGTGCTAGCCAAAACTAGACTAGATTGACATGGGACTGAGGTTTTTGTATTTGCCATTTTCAGCACCTATAGATTATATTAATATATTTCAGCAATGTAAGATGAGCTTGACACAGAATACTTAAGTAGAAATCAAATCAAATACTATTTCATTAAAGACCTATTTAACTCTTACCTGTTTTATTTATCCAAGAAAATAAAAATGCTTTGGAGAAAAACTAAACTAATGTAATCATCTGGTAATATTAAAACAGGCATTATCACGAACAAAATAATCCTTGCTGTTTTCATCATTAGTTTGTGAGACAGATGATTTTACATAGAGTTAAAGGGTATAATCTCTATCCAATAAATGTTTTGGGAATTGGGTTCAAAGAACAGATTAAGGAGAAAATAACAAAAAAATCCTTCCTTACCAGTAGATATACCTTTGGTTACATTGAATGAATGTGGGGTAGGAAAAACAGAAAAGGAGAAAAGTAGAAGGGAAGAGAAAAGAAAAAAATACACACAAGCGTGAGAAGAAATGTACGGAAGGAAAACTAATAAACTTCATTTAGTTTAACACAATTATCTTTTCTTTGGCCTCAAAATAGCTCATGACCTTTTTCCTGAGGCACTTAAGCCTTAGGATCACATGAGTGATTTTCATGGTCTTATAAGTTTCTGGGAGATTTTAATTCTCTGAGACACAACAAAATCCCAACAGATACTTATTTTTATATGACACTGGGAGTGTGGCGTGTGGGCTATTTCGTGGAAGAAAGAATTAAACCCTCCAGCAACCTTCCCTGAATTGCGTGGGCATTGGAATAGAAAAGTAAGACTAAGTATAGAAATAAAAATATAAAACTTTACTGCTCTTAAAATATATTTGAGAAAGATGAAATCTAATCATATAAAAGCTTCTGGAAGTACATATATCATGGTCTTAAATAAAGCCTGTGTCTGAGAGGTGAGATTACGAGCGCTTTTATAAGATGTGGTTAGTTGCGGTTAAGAGCATGCTTTCTAAAACAAGACTGAATGGGGTTCAAATCTTATCCTGGTCAACTTCTGAGCCTCTGAGTTGAGTTATGCAACTCCTGGGGGCATTCTTCCCACCGTAGTCAATGTGAGCGGCAGTTCCTAGAGTGGCGAAATATGTCGGCGTGATGTATTTATATCCACCACATCAGAATTGTATGAAGATTATACAAGATAATGAGTATACAGTATGTAACTCAATACTCAGTAATTACTGAATATCAAATCAAATACTATAGCACTGAAAACCTACTTAATCCCTGTCTCTGACTTACGCAAGTAAAAAAAAAAAAACTGCTTTGAAAAAAATTAAAGGAATATAATCATTAGGTAATTCTAAAGTCGAAGCATTATCATTATCATCCACATAACCATTGTTATTTTCATAATGAACTCGGGAGACTACTTTTCACAGACTTAAAGAGGTATGACCTCTGCCTTCGTCTGTTTTGCACTGGTGTAACAGAATGCCTGAGACTGGGTAAACTTATAAACAATATAAAGCTATTTCTCACAGTTTTAGAGGCTGGGAGGTCCAAGATGGAGGTGCCCGCAGGTCCTGTTGTCTGATGAGGGCTGTGTGCTCTGGAAGGGAGCGCGCTGTGCCCTCACATGGCAGGAGGCAGAGGACAAGCTACGTGAGGCCCGTCTTATAAGGGCCTTGATCCCATTCCCGAGGGAGGAGCCCTCGCAGACTAAACACCTCTTAAAGGCCCCGCCTCGTAATACTGTTCCATTGGCAGCACCTGAACTTTGGAGAGGACCCATTCAAACCCACAATACCTTCTACGCTGTAAGAGTTTTAATTGGGCTCAAAGAACAGATTATGGTGCAAATAACGAAAAATCCTTCCTTGGCAGTACAGGTTGAGTATTCCTTACCTGAAAAGCTTAAGACCAGAAGTGTTTTTTTGGATTTCAATTTTGTTTGGATTTTGGGATATTTCCATTACGATCAGTTAAGCATCCTGAATCTGAAAATTCAAAATTCAAAATGCTCCAATGAGCATTTCCTTTGAGCATCCTGTCCACACTCAGAAAGTGTTGGGTTTTAGAGCATTTTTAATTTTCTGATTCGGGATGCTCAACCCGTATATACGTGTATAAGTTTGGTTACAAGGAATGAATGCAGAGGCAGGAAAAAGCAAAAAATGAGAGAATTAGAGGGAGAAAGGAAAAAAAAAATCATACACAGTGTGAGAAGAAACATATGAAACAAAAAATAAACTTCATTTAATTTAACACAATTATTCCCTCTCAGAGGCTTTAAAACAGATACTAGATTAAGGATAGCCACACATTCTTTGATACTCCTGCTATTAACAGGTGAAGGTTAATTCCTCTACCTTGAGTGGGGGCTGCCTTAGTAACTTGCCACATCCATTTGGATGTGGCAGAAATAACATTCTAGGACTTCTTTTTTTAATTTTTGAGACAGGTCTCACTCTGTTGGCCTGGGCTACAGTGCCTTGGTGTCAGTCTAGCTCACAGCAACCTCAAACTCTTGGGCTCGAGCAATCCTCCTACCTCAGCCTCCTGAGTAGCTGGGCCTACAGGCATGTGCCACCATGCCCAGATAATTTTTTCTATATATTTTTAGTTGCCTAGCTAATTTCTTTCTATTTTTAGTAGAGACAGAGTCTTACTCTTGCTTAGGCTGGTTTCGAACTGTTGAGCTCAAATGATCCTCCAGCCTTGGCCTCCCAGAGTGCTAGGATTACAGGCGTGAGCCACCATGCCGGGCCCATTCTGGGACTTCTAAAACTATGATATGGAGCCTTGGAGTTTCTGTCCAAGACTTTTGGAATACTCACCTTGGGAAAGCTGACTGCCGCGTAAGAAATCAGACTACCATGAGACCACCATACTATGATAAACCCACAATAACCACAGAGACAGGCCATCTCTATAAAGAGGGAAGGGTGTCCAGGCAACCCCAGCTACTTCAGCCATCCCAGCTCTGGCCCAACACATGAACATTAGGGACCATTTTAGTCCCAGAAGAAATGGCATGGAGAAGATCTGAGGAATTCAAGCAATAGCCAGAACTGAAACCCCAAAATATGGCACTAATCACCAACTCCAGATATCCCCAGCCACTCAAGCCATCCCAGCTGAAGCTCCAGATGCTGCAAAGAAAAAAATGCACTAGCCCCCATTATATTCTGCTGGAATTCCTGACCCGCAAATCATAAGCATAATGGAACAATGTTGTTGTATATCTCTAATTTTTAGGGAGGTTTGTTGTGCAGCAGTAGATAACCAGAATAACCCACCCCCAATTTATAAATCAGGTGCACTTTAAGTAGATTTATGGCTAAGCTATTTAGCTGTCCATTAAAATCACACTAAGTCACTTACTTACCAAAATTGAGCTATAGCCACAAAAGCTTGCTACATGACTAAAGAATAAGCACCAAACCGATATTAAAATTAATTAATATATTAATTTTTTAAAAATATCAAATTAGTCTGATGTATTCTTACCAAAGCAAATTCATGAGATATCCTTCCATCTGGAGGCAGTTTTGCACCAAAACCTAGAGCTGGGAACATCTTATCGCTGTCATAATCTTGAACGATTTCCCCCACTGCTTTCAGTGCCATCCCATAGGCGTTCAGTTGGTAAGGATTCATGTAGTGGAGAGAAGTGGGCTGAGCAGGGTTGCCTGATGACAGAAAATATATTCACACATACAGAGATTGGGCTAAGGATATTTTTTTTAACAACATTTTTCTTGATGTCTATTTCAGAATAAAATATTCAAAATTATGTTTTTCTGCCTATACCCAGAGTGTGTCAAATACTTTTTGGATAGATATTAACATATAAATATTTATTATATTGTATCAGACATACAGAAAGATATGCCAATGCATATGCAGAATTGTTCAGAAATTATTCCTTATTGTCAATGCCATAGCTTATTTTTGAGATTCAGTTCTAGAAGTACAGAAGTACTTTTTAAATAATCTTATTTATCTATAAACTTTATTTTTTAAAAATCATGTGCCTTTAGCTTGAATCCTTATGTCTCTGGTGAGATGACCCAACTGATTTAATGGACTTCAATAATTATGAGTCCTTCCTAAAGTTGTGTCATAAATATAAATTGAATATTTGAAAAATATTCCCATTTATCACTTTTAAAAAGGGCAGCATAGTGATTTTCAAGCTCAAGCTGATTAAATAACTAGATCTGACAAATTATTCAGAACTTTCTTACTAGACATTAAGCAAGGAGCCCAAGTCCCAGAGTCAAATCTTGCCATTTGCAGAATAGCATCTGCAAAATAAATCCTTCCACAGTGTCTACTGGAAGGACAAAATGAGATTATGTGTTTGAAAGTGATTAAAAATAATAAAGCATCATAGAATTATAAGTTTAACCAGTGCAGTTATTATTGTCTGGGTCACGCACAAGGTTCTGAATTTACAAAATACTCATACTGATAGGATGTTGCATTTGAAAAAAGATGAAATTGAGAGAAAATGTAATATATGTGCTACCACTCAAACACATTGAGATTCACATCCAGTTGCCCTAATTACCAGCACAAAGGCAGCCTGAAAGTTCATTTAGTTTCTTAAGTGAAAATGGAAAGTTAAATGAGACCTGTAATAGCACATAAAGCTCAATTCTAAACTAAAGTATTGCCTGAAAAAGGAAAGCCTCAGGGCATAGTTTTTCTGACAACGGAAAAAATAACAATAAACACTTGGGATCCAGAGAGAAAGAAAATAAAGGAAATCTCCCTTTGGTTTATTATACATATAATTATACATAGAATATTTCTGTCCTAAAAATAATTCATTGCACAAATGCTTTTTTATATTTCCAAAGGGTTAGCAGCATTTTAGGATGGATTTCACATGACAAAATCTCTAAAAAAGTGCCTTCTGACCAAAATGGCCTTAATGTTCCCCTCAATTTGGCTAAATTTTAGAAAAGTTTGTTTTGTTTTGTTTTCCTGACCATAAACCAGGGACTACTCTTTTCTTAGAGCATTTACTTTAGAACTGGAAACTGGAAATTCTTTCTCTGCCTCTTTGAGATGGAAATCTTTTACAACTAAGGAATACCTTTCTCAAGGACCTGGGAGCCATCCCTTTGAAATATAATCATTAAGAAAGACAGCATTTATTGATAGGGAAAAGAAGCCCTATTCAATAAATGGTGCTGAAAAAATTGAATAGCCTCATGCAGAAGAATAAAATAGGATTCATTTTTCTCAACACTCACAAAGATTAATTCAAGATGGATAAAAGACTTAAATGTAAGGCATGAAACCATAAGAATTCTAGAAGAAAATGTTGTAAAAACTCTTCTAGATACCAGCCTAGGCAAAGAATTTATTTATGAAAAAAGACCGCAATGGCAATCACAGTAACAACAATAATAAATAAATTGAACTTGATTAAATTGAAAAGCTTCTGCACAGCTAAGGAAATAATCAACAGAGCAAATAGACTCTCTACAGAATGGGAGAAAATATTTGCATGCTATACATCAGACAAAGGGCTAATAACCAGAATCTACAAATTGGCAAGAAAAAAATAACCTCATTAAAAAGTAGGCAAAAGACATGAACAGAAGCTTTTCAAAAGAAGACAAATGGCCAATAAACGTATGAAAAATGCTCAATGTCATTAATCATCGGGGAAATGAAAATTAAAACCACAATGAGATATCACCTTACCCCAGTCAGAATGGCTTTTATTAAAAAGTCCCAAAACAACAGATGCTGGTGTGGATGCAGACAGAAAAGAACCTTATACACTTTTGGCGGGAATGCAAATTAGTACAACTTATATGGAAAACAGTATGGAGATTCCTCAAAGAACTAAAAGATGACCTATCATTCCATCCAGCAATCCCACTACTGGGTATGTAACCCAAAAGAAAAGAAGCCATTTTATCAAAAGAACACTTGCACTCACATGTTTATTGCAGCACAATTCACAATTATAAAGATGTAGAATCAACTCAAGTGCACATCAATTCATGAGTCACTTAACAAAATGTGGTATATGGAATGGAATACAACTCTGCCATAAAAAGGGATGAATTAATGCCTTTTTCAACAATTTGGATGGAACTGGAGACGATTATCCTAAGTGAAGTATCTAAAGAATGGAAAAACATACACCGCATGTACTTGCTATTAAATTGGGACTATCCAATGAGCACACATGTGTACGGAGGGAAGTAAAACTCAGTGGAAATCAAACAGGGAGGAGGGGGGAGGGTATGAGTGAAAACTTATTTAACCGGGTACAGTGAACACTATGTGGGTGATGGGCGCACTTATAGCCCTGACTCGAGCATCACAAAAGCGATCCATGTTACCAAAAAAGTTTGTACTCCCATAATATTTTGAAATAATAAAAAAAGAGAAGAGAAATGTTCAAGTAATATCAATCTAAAGGTAAAGTCATCAATTTTGTCCTCACAGATGGCATTGGGTAGTTAGTATTCAAGTGTTACTACATAAACAAAATTGATTTACATTAACTGAGGAAAAAAGAAAAAGAAAAAAAAAAAAAAGAAAGAAAGAAAGAAAGGCACCAGCCCTATCTCCCAATCTCTGTGAGAAATGTAGGGCCCTAACTTCAGTAAGTGTCAATTAGCAAACAAATGGCCTAATCACACAGACAAACCTCCTTGCTAACATCCACCAGTACTTTTCCACTAGCTCATCCCAGCACTTACAAACCATCTAGCCTTTTGTTTTGAAGCAGTAAGTTCAATTTTTGTACTCTATCATAATAGCCTTAACCTCTATTGCAAATAGTCCTTCCTGGCCTTTTTAATTTATTCAGTACAATCTTGCTTTGACACTTCCTTCTAAAGTAGAAACTTTGCTACTTAATCAAAAAGCCCACTGAAGTCAGAGATAAGAAGTACCATTACTGGACTAAATGGCTATTTAACTCAACTCTCAACTATAAGAAGAGTTGTTACCCAATAGTGCCAATATGGCAAATAATTCTATTTTATCCAGAAAAACGATAACTTTAAAAAATCATTGATACTTTCACATATCTGTCTTAACCTATCACACATAGCAGGGCCCTACTGCTCCCCTCCAAAGCATATCTCTTTCCAGCATCTTCATCCACACCAGTCTGTGACTATACTACTACTGAGATTTTCCCTTTCATCTCTACTTGTCAAGTTGCCACCCTGCCCTGAAATTCTTTTCCTCCAGCTTATGTCTCAAATACATTAGACAACCTTCCTTGTTTATTCCAGCCTTCATAGTTTTTTCTCTCATACCCTTATGGCTCTTGTGTTCTGTGTCATGAAATTTGGCAATTTAAGAAACTGCCAAATTGACTGTCAACTCTTTGAATCTGGGACCATGTTTGTATTTACTCTGTATCTGCAACAATGCTTATGAAGAATGAACCGGTAGTAGGTTGGTAACATTAGGGCTCAATTAATAGCAATAATAATTATAATAACATGGAATCTAACATGTATTGAAAGTATTACTTTATATCTCAATCCTTTCAAAAAGTTATGACGTGGCTACTTTTATTATAACCATTTTTCAGGTTAGATAACTTGCTCAAATTCACAAAGTAGTAATTGGTAAAATTAGAATATGAATCTAGGCCATCTGATTCCACAGCCCTTACTCTTAGCTATAACTCTTTAAAGATTTTATAATGTTGTAAACCCAGAATATTATCAAATTTATATCTGATTTTGTTTCAGAGTTGCACTATGCCTTTGTAAGAAAAATCACACTTGAGTAGATTATTTTCACAGTTTATTGAGACATAATTCACATGCTTACACATCAACCATTTAAAATATATAATTCAATGATTTATAGAATATGCACAGATATGTGCAATCATCACTATAGTCAATTTCAGAATATTTTCATCACCTTGAAAAGAAACTCTACTCATTAGATATCTCTGCAGCCCTAAACAATGACTAATCTACTTTCTACTGATTTGCCTATTCTGGACATTTTATATAAATAGAATCACATAATACATGGTCTTTTGTGACTAGCTTCTTTCACTTAGCATATGATTTCGAGGTTCATCCTTGTTGTAGCATGAATCAGTACCTCACTCCTGTTTATGTAGAGTAGTATTTCATTGTGTATGTATATCACATTTGGTTTACCTATTTATCATTTGATAGACATTTGAGTTGTTTCCATATTTGGGCTATCATGTTGCTATGAACTTTCATTACAAATTTTTATGTTGACATATTTTTTTCATTTCTCCTGGAGTGGAATTGTTGGGTCATATGGTAACTCTGTCTAACAGTTCTAGAAACTGCAAAGTGTTCTCTAAAGTGGCTATACCATTTTACATTCCCACCCACAGTGTTATGAGGGTTCTGATTTCTTTACATGCTCACCAACACTTGTTATCTATTTGACTATAGCCATCCTAATGGGTGTGAAATGGTATCTCATTATAGACTAGATTTATATTTCATGATGCCTAAGTATGCCAAGAATCTTTACTTGGCTTACTAGCTATTTGTATATCTTCTTTGGAGAAATGTCTATTTAGATCCTTCACCCATTTTAAAAATTGGACTATCTGTCTTTTTTTTTGAATTATAAGAGTTCTTTATATATTCTAAATACAAGTCCCTCATAAGATGTATGATTTGTAAGTATTTCCCCAATTCTGGAGGATGTCTTTTCATTTCCTTAATAGTGTCCTTGGAAACATAAAAAGTTTTAATTTTGATAAAGTTCAATTTGCCTATTTTTCCATTTGTTGTCTATGTTTTTAGTGTCATATTTAAGAATCAACTGACAAATCCAAGGTCATGAAGATGCATCCATATGTTTTCTTCTAATAGCTTTACAGTTTTAACTCTTAGACTTAGGTCTTTGATCCATTTTGAGTTAATTTTTGTATATGATGTGAGATAAGAATCCAACTTTATTCTTTTGTATGTGGCTACCCAGTTGTCCCAGCACCACTTGCAGAGAAAATATCATCTCCCCATTTAATTGTTTTGGTACCCTTCTGGAAATAACTTAACCTCAGACCTCAGATGCATACGTTTATTTCTGGAAAGCTGATTGCATTTCATTGATGTACATATTCATCTTTGTGCCAGTACTATACTGTCTTAATTAATATTGCTTTATAGTAAATTTGAAAAGTGAGAAATGTGAATCTTCCTATTTTGCTGTTCTTTTTCAAGATTGCTTTGGCTCTTCTGGGTCCCTTGCAATTCGATATGAATTACCATATGAATGTTTCCATTTCTTACAAAAAGGGCATTCAGATTTTGATAAAAATGGCTTTAATTCTGTTGATCATTTGGGAGAATACTGCCATCTTAATAGCATTAATCTTCTAATACATGAATATGCCTTGTTTTTCTATGTATTTGGATATTTAATTTATTTCAATAATTTTTTCAAAGTATAGTTTTGCACTTATTTTATTAAATTTATTCTTATGTATATTATTTCTTTTGATATTATTGCAAATAGAATTGTTTTCTTGGATTCAGATTGTTCCTTGTAAGTGTATAGAAAAAGGATTGATCTTTATATATTGATCTTCTATCCTACAATCTTGTTGAACTCATTTATTAGTTGTAATAGATTCCCAGTGTATTTCTTAGGATTTCCTATGACAAGATGGTGTCATCTGCAAATAGAGATAATTTTGCTTCTTCCTTTCTGATCTGATATATTTTCTTTCTTTGTCTTGCCTAATTGCCTTAGCTACAACCTCCAGACAATGTCAAAGAGAAGAGGTAAAAGCAGGCACTTCTGACTTGTTCCTCATGTTAGCAGGAAGCATCCAGCATTTTGCCATTTAGTATGATGTTAGCTGTAGGTTTTTCATAGATTTCCTTCATCAGTTTAGGAAGTCCCCTTTTACTCCTAGTTTAATGAGTGTTTTTATAACAAAAGTGTACTGGACTTTGTCAAATGCTTTTTCTGCATCAACGGAGATGGTTATGTGGTGGTTGTATTTTCTTCCATTGATAGGATGTATTACATTCTTTGACTTTTGAATATAAAACTAACCTTTTATTGCTGGGATAAATCTTACTGTAGGGACTGTAATTCTCTTTATATGTTCCTGGATTCAGTTTCCCAGTATTTTATTGAGGATTTTTACATCCATACGTATAAGAGATACTGATCTGTAGTTTTTCTTTTCTTGTGATGTCTTTGTCTAGTTCTGATATCAAGATAATATTGACCTCATAAAATGAATTGGGGAGTATTCCTTCCTCTTCTAGCTTCTGGAAGAGTTTGTGAAGAGTTGGTATTAATTTCTTTTGAGTGGATTATTAAAATTTGGTATATGTTTACAATAGAATATTACTCAATTCTAAGAAATGACAGTGAGCTAGCACCGCTTATATTATCTTGGATTGAGCTTAGGCCCATTATCCAAAGTGAAATGACACGAAATCAGAATAATGGGCTCCACTTGTACTCGCCATCAAATTGGTACTGACTGATTAACACTATGGTGCTCAAACAGTGGTGGTGTTCACCAGGGATTTGGGGGTTGAGGGGTAGTCCCACATCTGAGGGATGTGGTGAGCACTGTGGAGGGGAAGGGCATAACTCTAACCCTTGCTAGGGAGAGGCAAAGATATAAAATGTAACCAAAATGTTATAAAAAAAAACATTTATTGGGTGTCAGGTGGGAGAGGGGAGTAGAGGATGGGTATTTACATACATAGTGAGTGCGATGAGCACCATCTGGGGAATGGACACACTTGAAGCTCTGACTAGAGGGAGGAGGGGAGGCAAGGGCAATGTATGTAACCTTAATGTTTGTACCCCCATAATATGCTGAAATTAAAAATATATATATTTAGTAGGATTCATCAGTGAGCTATCTGGCCTGGTTAGACTTTTGTGGTAAGTTTTTTTTAATTACAAATTTAATTTCTTTACTCATTATTCATTTATTCAGATTGTCTATTTCTTTTTATGTCAGTTTCAGCAGTTTATGTCTTTTTATTTAATAGATTATTGCTTCTGTTGCTGCGCTAACATTCATCAGTGAACAAAGGCTAGTATTTTAAACCAGTTGGACTTTAGGTGTTATTTATTTCTTATTTATTTATTTTTATTTATTTTTTTGAGACAGGGTCTCATTCTGTTGCCCAGAATGCTAGAATGCCGTGGCATCAATCAGCCTAGCTCACTGCAACATCAAACTTGTGGTCTCAGCCTCCTGAGTAGCTGAGACTAGGCTAATTTTTTCTATTTTTAGTTGTCTGGCTAATTTTTTCTTTTTTCTTTTAGTAGAGACGGGTGTCTTACTCTTGCTCAGGCTGGTCTCAAACTCCTGAGCTCAAGCAATCCTCCCACCTCAGCCTCCCAGAGTACTAGGATTATAGGTGGTATTATTTCTGTGTTATATATTTTATTGAATAAATTGCAAATAAAAATCATTAACTTGAAGCCATAATGTTGGAGAATAAACTTAATATGTAGTAAAAGGTGAGCTGAATAGGAGTAGGTCTTCTCATCTGCAGTTCTAACTCTAGAACTAATAAACCAATATGTGTTTATTAGTAAAAATGTTTCCCCAATTTGAGTTTCTCATTTGTATAAAAGAAGGGTTTCATTAAATGATCTCTGAGGTACTCTCTTCCCTAAAATTTCTATTATTTTGTGAAACGTGAGTCAATGTGAGATAAATGTGATTTAAAGGGATTACAATGTAAGAGCTACAGGCACGATAAACAATTTGAAAAAAAATCTAGACAAATACAAACTAATGCCAACTTCTGGTAAAAGTTAAATAATGAGGTTCATATTCTTATGATACATAATAACTGATTTCAAATGTTTTTATGTTTAAAATAAAGTTGCTTCAAAATAAAATGGAAAGTTCACAGTTTTTTTCTTTCTTAAAATGTTTGATATATAAATAATGAATTTATTTATTTAATTTATATATATCATACATGGACTATCATATATTAGTCTTGAATGAACTAGATATATATGCATTAACATGAGTAATTCTCAAAAATAAATTATTGAATAGAAATGAAATAATTTATGTAGGATACAGGTATTATTGAATTAAATTTATACAAAAGAGGACACACAACAGTACTATAAAAACAAGTATTACAATTAGACACACCTCAGAATTATAATTATAAATGGAAAAGAACAGAGTGTAAGAGAATGGACAGGGCCATACAATGGGCTTAAATATATTTAAAATTTCTATTCTTTTTAAAGACATGAAACAAAATGACAATATTTCAAGTTAATAAATCTGAACAAATGACAATATTTCCACATTTAATAAATCTGAATGGAACTGTTATGCATTTTTGTTATATTTCTTATAGAATAGTTTTGCTATCTGAACTATTTCATAATATAAAAAGAAAATTATGTGAATTGCATATAAAGAGTATATAAATGTAGGAATAAATATCTAACCTCATGAAATAAAATTTATTCTTCACTTAATTGCTGATAATTTTCATCAGGGGATATTCCTACTTACCGTTTGATGCTGTAAAATCAATAGCCACTGTGAAGTTGATTGTGTTCTAGAATATAAGTAAAAAGAATCAATAATTAAAAAACTCATTAAAACTTTGTTTTCTATTTGATTATATTTTCAATATTACTGATATTCTTAAATGTTAATTATGAGCAAATATATTACAATTCACATTGGATAGCATCAGATAGGCAGTTTTACAAGGTAACAATTTGGAAAAAAATATATTTATAGTCATACAATGAAAAAACAAAAATTAAAGTCCTGGGAATAAAATACCTATTTTAGAGTACATACTGAGTGGCTCATAATGAAGAAGACAAACTGCAAAAAATTATTTGCCAGTCTCAAATGCCAGAATTTATTATTAATTTGACTGTTTCCAAAATCATTCTGTAGTTATCACAAAATTATTATGCCCTTAAAAGTGTAGCATAGCTCACATCATCTCTAATAATATCATTCCTTAAACTAATTTTTTTGACAATCCTGAAAAGACAAGATTTTCTTCTGTTTCCTTCAGAAAACAGAAGAATGAAGTATTTCAGATAAAGCTATATTCATTGCTCACAGCATTTCTCTCTCTCTCTCTATGTATTTATAGATATAGATAAACATAAATATGTAAAGATTTATGAAATATGTTACAAGATGGTCCTCAACTAGGAATAGGGTTATAAACTCATCATAAGATGAAAATATGTAAGTTAAAAGTTCATTGAGGCCGGGCGCTGTGGCTCACGCTGTAATCCTAGCTCTTGGAGGCCGAGGCGGAGTGATTGCTCAAGGTCAGGAGTTCAAACCAGCTGAGCAAGAGCGAGACCCCGTCTCTACTATAAAAATAGAAAGAAATTATTGGCCAACTGATATATATAAAAAATTAGCCGGCATAGTGGCGCATGCCTGTAGTCCCAGCTACTCGGGAGGCTGAGGCAGAAGGATCACTGCGCCCAGGAGTTTGAGGTTGCTGTGATAGGCTGACGCCACGGCACTCACTCTAGCCTGGACAACAAGCGAGACTCTGTCTCAAAAAAAAAAAAAAAAAAAAGTTCATTTGATACACCTAAGCTACCTAACATCATAGCTTAGCCTAGCCTTACCTTCAACGTGCTCAGAACATTTACTTTAGCCTACAGCTGGGTAAAAATTATCTGACAACACAGTACCCTGTAGAGTATCGGTTGTTGACCCTTGTGATTGTGTGGCTAACTGGGAGCTGCTGGGAGCTGCCACTGCCCAGCATCAGGAGAGAGTAACATACCACTTTCTGCTAAATGCGTATTGCTTGTACACCATCATAAAGTAAAAAATTCACAAGTGGAAGCATGGTAAGTCAGGGACCATCTGTATATACATTTTAAATTTTCACTAACACTCTGGGAGGCCGAGGTGGGCGGATTGCTCAAAGTCAGGAGTTCGAAACCAGCCTGAGCAAGAGCGAGACCCCGTCTCTACTATAACAGAAAGAAATTAATTGGCCAACTGAAAATATATAGAAAAGATTAGCTAGGCATGGTGGTGCGGTCCTGTAGTCCCAGCTACTCAGGAGGACGAGGGAGGAATGGATTGCTTGAGCCCAGGGTTTGAGGTTGCTGTGAGCTAGGCTGATGCCATGGCACTCTAGCCCAGCAACAGAGTGAGACTCTGTTTAAAAAAAAAATTTTTTCAGCACATGGTAGTTACCCAAAATTATTTACGGGTTTTTTGTTTGTTTTTGTTTGTGTGTGTGTGTTTGTTTTTCTGATGGAAACTAAGGAGGTACATTCACATATGAAATTCACTTTTTTTGGGTAATCCTATGACTCTATATGTAACTCTATTCTTTTCTTACCAAAGAGACATAAAAACACAAAAATAGAACTATATGATTACTGCATTAACCTGGAATCACATCTAATGTAAAAAATAATTTTTAATTAAAAAGTAAATCATTTGAAAATGTGAGTACTTTGACTATGTTTCAGCAACAAATTACTTTTGACACACTGCAAAATTGATTTAACACTCCCCAGTTTGGAAATGTTGGATAAAAGTCGATGATAATGATGAGATTTACACAAAGCAATCTGGCTCTGAGTACTACAGCATAATAAGGTCCCTTGTGATTCTCTTACTAAAAAGTATGGTAGGATTTTCTTCTTTTTCAAAAAATTCAGCCTGAAAAGACCTAAATATAATTCAGGAATTGAATCAAATTCACAGACTTTTTTCCTAAGGAATGAACAATCTTTTCTGCTTTCATTTAACAACTAGTATAGATTCCCTTTATAGCTATATGATAATTTTTTTCTTAGAGTAGAAATCAGGTTTATAGGTTAAGAATATAGGCTAATTTGAAGCATAACACTAAACAGCATGAACCAAAATGAGTACAAACTTTTAGAAAAAGAATGTAGTGAGACATTTGGGAGAATATTTTCAGATAATACATCCCTTTGTGGGACTGAAAAGAATAGTCACCATCAGCATGTTGCTTTGTCACTCTGTGCCAGGAAGAGAAGGAACATGCTAGTATGATATGTGAGGAAGGGTATGGCTTTTGAGTCTGAAAGAACTGGGTTTGAGTCCCAGCAAACCAGTTGGCGACCTTAGCCGAATTTCAGAACTCTTGGAGGACAGATGCCTGGCATATAGTAATAAAATAACTGAAAGGAAACTACATAAAATATTATATATGTATTATATTTTATACGTACAATATACATATTATATATCAAAATACACGAACATTATATATGTATATATGCACATTATATATGTATATATCACATATATGTATAATGTGTGGTTACATAGCTTATATTAACTCAACTAACTGTAATTTTAGAAAGAAGATACTATTCTCCTCCTTTTATAGACAAGAAAACCTATGTTCACCAAACTTAATAACTTTTCACACCAGTTAAATGCTGATGCCAGCATTGGAATCTGAATTCATGCCCAACTTCAAAGACTATATTTATAATGTCTGTATTACTCTGTTTCTCCAATTAAATATTTGCATACTACCTGGCTATAATAGGAACACAATAAAGGATATTATGTTGCAAAGCTAGAAAAGAAACTATACAGATATTCTTCATGATAAAGATGTTGGGTGTAATCTCATGCTTGGGCAAATTTTTCCTTCTATCAAGTATGTTATCAAATTCATAAATCACAAAATGATCTGCATATATGACTTTTATGTTATTTTATTTATCATATTATAAAGATCCATTTAGAAGTTTAGTCTTTGGTTCAATCTTGCTTAGGTTATAGGGGTAGACACCTTGTCTCGATTCAACTCTCTTTTAAAACAGTGTCCGCACAATGCTTTGCACATATTGGAACCTCACTGTACTGACTGGGGGAATAAATGTGTTCATTTTATGATTGTTTCTAACTTGTTCTCCAGGGTAGCACAGGATGTGTAGCATACCACCGACTTCTTAGAAGTATTAGTTTCAGAAAAAAGACTTCGATAGTCATAGATTCAAAGGTCCTCTCAAAGCCAAAGTCTGACTAGCAAAGCTACAAAGATATGGCTATTAACTCAAAAACCATATTGTCCCACAAGAATGAAAAAAGAGAGCAGATACTTAGAAATAAATTAACTTATTAAAACTCTAAACAGCTAAATTAAATTACAAAAGCAAGCAGACTATATAAAAAAATAATGAGCTGTAAAAAAGGGGAGAAGGAGAGAGAGAAAGGACAAGTAGGAAGGAAGGAAGGAAGGCAGGGAGGAAGGCAGGAAGGCAGGAAGTCAGGAAGGCAGGAAGGCAGGCAGGCGGGAGGGAGGGAGGGAGGGAGGGAGGAAGGAAGGAAGGAAGGAAGGAAGGAAGGAAGGAAGGAAGGAAGGAAGGAAGGATACTGTAAACCCAGACACTCCAAGACTAAGTACATAAAGGACTAATGCATTCATTTAGCACTAGATGATAAATAAGACCATTTTGTAATAGTGCAACAGACACACTCAAGAAGTAAAGCAGAATCCTTGATGTATATTGGATGGCTGACTGATTATAAGATTTGATTAATTCTTTGTCTCCTTCTGCATTTCAGAAAGAATCTTTCTCCTTTATTGCTTTGAATCAGCAGCAGTCTTCAGATGAGAAGGAAAATCTTATGGCTCACTACATAACGCATTTCATAGGCATGATGGTCCCTTAGGGTACTATCATACTATTGAGATTTTCCTGTTTATAAAGCTACAGTTTAACAATTATTTATTGAGCATCTTCCAATTGCCAAGCAATGTGCTATATAATGGAGAGAAACAGGAGCAACTGAAACACTCTTCTTGAATTCACAGAGCTTATAATTCCAGCTTTCTATTATTAAAAGTAATAACAAAAACAGCATAGCATTTTTTCATTGAATTCATAATCAATAGCATAACCTAAAATTTAACTGCACATTTACTGTGGGTAATGGCTAGTTCATTCCCATGATTCCAAAGAGTTTTCATTATAATATATACTTACGAAATCAAGTGTCACATTCTATATATTTAGAAAATATTATCTACCAAAAATGTTAAAGAAAGTTGCTAGCAATACTGTAACTTTAGGCTATAAAACACATTTCTTAAAGACTTTGATAAATGATTTGTGTCATAAAAGTAAACCAAGCATCTTCATCAATAATCCTGTTACCCTATTTCATTCTCTAATATTACCCAAAGCCTAGAGTTAGAAAAAAAGAAATCAATTGTGTGTCAGAGTAAAAATCTGAATTCATACAAGATGACTCCTGACAGAATATTCATGAAACAATCGTATATAAATCCTCAAAACATTTTGCTTTTGAAGTGTTACCTTAGCTGTCATTTTATGTTTTAGAAGGAGACAAGACAGGGTAGGATTTCATGAAACCAAGATAACAGTACTACATCTTAGAAGATAAAAAAGTTATGCCTGCCAAATCGCATGAGTTAGCACTAACGACTCATGAGACTTCCCAATGCGTATATCCTAGTACTGCTAAAATATACATTTGGATCATGTCCCTATTTTACTCTGCCACCTTTCCAAAAGCTGTGAATGACAGAGAAATCAGATG